CAACGCCCTCGGCCGCGCCATGGGCGGGCAACGGTTTTCGGATACATCTCCGGCCAGGCAGGCGCTCTAACAAACCTGGCGCGCGGATCCAAAATATCGCGCGGGTACGGTGGATCAGATGACCCGACGTCGCCATGACCTCCCTGGGCGAGAAACGGTCGCACGAGCAGCACCTGTTGCGGAGGTCGGCGCGAGCCTCTCGCTGATCTTCAATCACTGAGGCGCGAGCGCTGACGCGGCTGGCCAGCGCGGGGCAAGCGGGCGTTGGCCTAGCGCCCGCCTGCCCCCTGCATTGCTGCTGAAGATTAGCATCTCGTGGCCCCGCCCAGGACCCTGGCGCGTTTCCGCGCCCCGCTGGAATCCACGGGCTCGACGCCCACTCAGTCGTCGCGTTTTCGAGTCGGTCGCAAGGGATCACCGCGCGGTCGGGGCGGGCGCGCGAGGCGCGGGCAGGGGCGCCGCTACCGGGCTCCAAGCGATTGCGGGCCCATAGTCGCTCGGAGATGCAATCGTTTCGCGGCCCCCCTCGGGGGCGGCGACCGCCCCCTGGCCCTGCGCGCCGCATGGGCCCGAGATCGCGGGAAGGCCGTCACCGCGCCAACTCGGCTACGTCGGCGAAGCGCGCCATCGGGGAAAACCCCTGCTGATCGCGCCGAGCCCTTCCGCGTCGGCAAGCCCCGACCTCGCAATCAGACGCAGCATTCTCGCCGACCGGCCCGATGCGAAAGTCGGGTTCGAACCGCGCGAATGCTCGCCATTGGCCAGTCTTGTGCGCGACAGAAGTCCGACGTGAGTAGATGCCGCCTGCGCTTTCCCGCGCATATGCAAGCCGCGCCTGCGTTCGACGAACAGCCCGCGGTCGTGCCCACCGCGTTGGGGCCCCAATTGCCCGTCGAGGCCTTGGCGTCGCCTTCGTTGCGTGCCGCGAAAATGTCCTCTCCGTCTGTCATGCCTGCCAGCGTCGGGCCTCCTCCGTCTTGCGCGCCGGCATGCGACGATGGGCTGGCCGCAAGTGCTTGCGCTCGGACCCCGCGTTCCCGCGGCCCGCGGGAACGCTGGCGTTGTTTCCGGTTGCGGGGTGGCCAGTAATGCTCGTTGCCCATGTGCCCCGAACTGCACCTGGCTCCACTCGCCGATGCCAGATCGCCGCTGCTCCCCGACTTGGGAACCAACACTTTCACGATTTCGAAATGCTCGGCCACGTGGTCGCTGCGGCCACTGCAGGTCGCGGGCGCCCGCGAGCTCGGCGCGGCGTCGCAAATGGTTCGCCCGGCAGCAGTCGTGGAACGGGCGGTTGCGTTCGAGCCGGAACAGCTGGCCTCCCAGCGAGAACCCGCGCGATGCGCGTGATGCGTGCTGCTTGCCGTCGAATTACGAAATTGCTGTCGGTCGATTTGGGCGAAGTCGCCCTCGGCGCACCAAGGTCGCCACCCGCGCTGGTCTGTCCGACGCGGTCGGCCCTGGGCCGGCGCGCCCTCGCCGTTGCCCTTGTCCTGGGAAGCGATGCCGGGAGCGTCGAGCTTCGCGGATGTTGCTCTGCGGGGGAAGAGGAGGGGGGGCGCAGGAAACGGGCGAGGAGGGCGAGCGGGAATCACAAGTAGGAGAAGGAATGATAATGACAATGAGAATGAGAATGAGTGCCGGCGCCGACTCGGCGGCACCCCGCTCCGCGGACGCGCAAAGCCTCGGGCGGGCCAGCGGGCCGCCCGCGGCGCCGCCGCGGGCCCCCCCGCTCGCCTGGGCCGGAGGGCGGGGCCCCGCTTCCGAGCCGAGCCCCAGCGCGGCGACGCCGCGGCGCCGGGCTGCAACATAACGCCAGACCGAGACGCGGGAGGCCCGCTCAGGTGCCCTCGGAAGTCTCCTCGCGGCGGCGAACCCCCTCCTCGCCCTCCCACTCCTTCCCGCGCCCCCGCGCGATCCCCGCCAGCTGGCCCGGGGGGGCCCGCGGCGCGCGGCGACCGGCCCCCAAGTCAAGCCGCAGCCGGCGGCAGCGACGACCGCGACCAGCGGGCCCAACGCCGCGCGCCAGGCCGCGCGCCAGGCCGCGCTCGGGCCCCAGGCCTCGTCCGACTGCGCGTTCTCCTGGCGCGGACGCCGGAGGTGCCCTCGGCTCGGCGCCTGGCCCCCGTTGGACCCAGCGCCTCTGGGCCCGAGCACTCCTCCGCAAGTCGCCGCCGGGCCTGCCTCGGGTGCTGCGCGTTGGCGCGGCAGCTCGCGCAGAAGGGCTAGTCTGGCTGCCCCGGGCACGCAGCCGCTGCAATGCTGTGGCCCCGCGGCGCCCACGGGGTAGCCGCGGCGTCTTCGCCCACTTCGCGCCGCGCCTCCGCTGGCACCTGCCCTCGCTTTCGCCCGCCTGTCCTGACGGCGCGGCCGATGAACGCCCATCTCCTCCTGGCGGATGCTGTCGGGCGACATCTCCTGGGGCCCCCATCAGGCCCCCTCGCGGTCGCGCGCTTCGCGCCGCTGGTCGCGGGCCCGCGCGTCTCCTAGTTGTCAGCCAAGCTGCTCGGCGCGCCGCCTGCATGCCGCTGCGAGCACCCTCGATGCATCGGGCACCTGCCAATACCTCGCCCCTGTCGCCCGTCTCCGCCTGTCCTGCGCGGTCACGGCCGCCCCCTCGGCCGCGCGGGCCTTCGCCGCGACCGCCCCCGCGCCCTGTTCCCGCATTTCGCCCCGCCAGGCTCCATGAGCGGCGGCGAGCGCTCGCGCAAGTTACTACGCCCTCCCCGCCGTCGTCGATGACTACGATCGCCCAGACAGCCGCAGCGAATCATCCTCGAAATCGTAGGCGTTGTCGCCGACGAAAACGTCACCCGTGAAGAAGCCGCGCGCCGGCCTGGTGCGCCACGCCAGGTGGGCGTTTTTGGGGGGCCCCGTCCTGGGGAAGCACTGCGAGGGGATCCCCGTCGCCTCGCCGCGAGACCGCGCGACCGATGCCATCTCTACAAGCTTGGAAGGCCATCGATCCCTCCTGCGCGCCGCCGTGCAGTCGCACCCGGAATGCCGATCCCACTGGGTCCCGCGCGCCGCCTGGTGCAGCCTGCGCCTGTCGTCTTCCGCCTCGCCCGCGCCGCCGAACCTGGCGCGCGCCCAATGGGACCCGCCGATAGGCTCCGGAGGGCGGGTTCACGGGGAGCCCCCCACTCTTCATCGCCGCCGCGCCTGGCCAGCATCGCTGCCGTCGGCGCCCAATTCAGCGAAGTTGCCCTGACGCCTTTCCCTCGGAAGCGGGCAAGCGCATGCGTCGGAGGCCTGCTGCGCGCACCTCCTGATCACCTCCATCACGGTGCAGGCCGCGGCCTGCCTCCCAGCGCGCGTGCAACACGCCGTCGCCCAGGACCCCCTGGATTAGGCAGGTGGCCCAGGCTCGCCCGAACTCCGCTGCGTGCGACGTCAGTCCAAGGATCGCGCCTGATCCCCGGGGGTGGGCCTTCAGCCTGAATCCCAGGCTGCACCCTGCAGGCAACCTCCAGTCGGTCTTCGCGGCCTGGATCCGGAGCTGGTACAGCTTGCCGTCAGCTATGTCAGTAACGCCCGAACCCCACGAGTCCGTGGCCGCGGGGCTGCCTCGATGCAAATCCTGCCGTGGCCGCCCCAACACGCCTCAATATTCGCACCCTGGTGCTGATCCGCTCCGCCTTGCGCAGCCTGACGTCGTGCTTTCATGCCCGCATCCAGCGGCCCAGCCGAAGTTGCGCGCCCCCGAGGCTCGGCGGGGGCTGCCGCCTCGGCCGAAGCAGCGTCCATCGCTTCGGCCCCCCCATCGGTGCTAGCCAAAAACTTGGGTTCTTGCAGCTGGCCTTCGAGTCCTTGCCGTCCAAATCCCCTACGACAGCGCATGTAGTCTCGGGGAACTGCGCTCTGGCCTGTTCCTCGCCTCAGACCGCCTGAAAGAAGACGTCGTCAACGATGTTCTGACACCGCACGACGGGGTAAGCCTGCCAGAGTCTCTTGGCCACCGCGTGGAGCAGCAGCTTGGCCACCCCCGTGGCGCAAGAGCAGCCCGCGGTCAGCGTGCCGTTTGCGCGGATCACGCCCGATGCAACTTCTCGCCAAGATGAGCCGTCTGGCACAATGGTAACTCAAACTTAAGGGCTTGAAAAGCCTCCTTTGGAATCCCGCATCGTCCGCCGCCTTGGCCAATTCCGCATGGCTCACATGCTCGCAAAACTTAGAGCAGGTCCCGCACGTCTGCGGCTGCAACTATGCATTTCAGCCTCTCGAAACTGGCAAACAAATCAAACACCACGCTGGCCGCGTCGCATGTCCTGTCCGAACCTCAACAGAGAGCGGGGTTATCCAGCGACCCCCCCCCCCCAACGCCTCACCAACGGCTGGCGCCGCCTCGATAACAGCCGGATCCAAATACAGCTGAAGTGAATCGGTCGCTTGCCTCTGTCCTCTTTGACCAGGGGGACCGTGATGAGGCCACGCAAGTCCACGTCGCCACAAAGATCCTCCCAGACACTGACATTTTGTGGAAATCGCCGACGACATGCCTCACGGGGCCCAAGGGTGCAGGCGATCAGAAGGAGGGGGGGAGGGAGGAGGAGGAGGAGGAGGAGGAGGAGGAGGAGGAGAAGGAGGAGGAAGGAGGAGGAGAAGGAGGAGGAGAAGAGGAGGAGGAAGAGGAGAGGAGGACGAGAAAAGGAGGAGGAAGAGGATGAGGATGAGGAGGAGGATGAAGAGGAGGAGGAGGAGGAGGAGGAGGAGGAGGACGAGCAGGATGAGGAGGACGACGAGCATGAGGAGGAGGAGGAGCAGCAGCAGCAGCAGCAGTAGCAGAAGGAGGAGGAGCAGGAGGAGGAGGACGACGAGGAGGAGGAGGAGGCGCAGCAGGAGGAGGAGGAGGAACGGCAGGAAGAGGAGGAGGAGGCGGAGGAGGAGGAGAAAGCGGAGGAGGAGGAAGGAAAGGTAACCTCGCGGGGTGGCGACGATCTGCCCCAGAAACACACCGGTTCGGGGAAGGGGCGGGGTCGGGGCGGCTGGGCGCGGCGCGCCCTGGTCGAACCACTGTGGATGATGGCCGCCTCCCCGGCGGAACGCGAGCAGCAGAGGAAGGGCGATGAGGGAATGAGGAGCGATGATGAACAATGCGGAAGGAAGAAAAGAGAGTGAGAGAGAGAGGGAGGGAGGGAGGGAGGGAGGAAGAGGAGGTACGCATAATGCGACTGTGTCGGATGCTGGGAGAAGGTTGAAAGAGTTTGCCCGCAGCGGCACGCTTGTCAGGCTCAGCTTCACAAGTCTTGCTAAGTTCGACTTGAAGAGCCTTGACGACTACGCTTGGGATTGCACTTGATGGATAACTTAGCAAGCTGTTCAGCTGCGAAGCTCCCACAGGCTGCACAAAACCAATTGCCCAGCCGAGCGTGATAGTTCAGTGGGTGTCTTTTGCCCCCCCCCCTTCCGCCCTCCCCCGCGAAGCGCACCTGCTGCCCTAGAGGAGGGTCCCAAACTGCACTGTTCACCGTGGAAAGGGGGGGCACAGACAGTCCAGCCAGGCCTTCAATTGGGCCGGAAAGGTCGGTCCCTTGCACCAAGTGCAACGAAGACCTGACTCAGCAAGGTGATGCTCTCGATACATTGCATTACACATCATTGGGGCAGGCGGGCGAGGAACAGGATGCTGCAGGCGGGGCCTAGACTCCCCATGCTGGTTCTCAGCTTCAATGACATCGAGCGTGCTCAACAGGAGCTTCATGCTTCACGAGACCCACCATTCGACCGGTCCGATACATGCGCGCACGCGGACTGAGACCTCGATGCGAACCTCGATGGGCCAAGCATGCTGAGTCGTCTGCCGCAGCATGACCTGGGATAAGCGGCGCAGGGACATTCTTCCGGGCGCTGTCCTTCTAGCGGCCAAGAGGGGGGTGCCCAAGAGGGGGGGGTGCAAATCATGACCGGCGGCATGTGCGCGGCCCAGCGGGGGGACCAGGGACGTAATGAAATAAGAAGAGGCGCCACGAAATCTGGGGAAATATCATGGCCCCCGCCATGATATCCACCCCCCCCTAGTCATCACCCCCCTCTTTTCCGCCCCCGATGTCCTCAGCCCCCTGGCAAGAGCGAACGAACAGAACGGATGCCGAAATGCGGGGCGCCTCGCTCTTAAGCACGGTTCCGACCGGGAACCGCCTGCCTGCAAATTCAAACAGGGCTAGGATCGGGATAAATTTGCTCCAGAGCGTTCCGGAGCGCTCTCAGAGCGTCCCGGAACGCTCTGGAGCGGCCGCGGCGCCCAATACATCCTCCAAACCCGCCGATTCTCAGAGATTTCGAGTTATCCCGATCCGATTTTGTACCGATCTTCGCGTCGTACAGAACGGATGCCGAAATGCGGGGCGCCTCGCTCTTGAGCACGGCTCCGACCGGGAACCGCCCGCCTGCAAATTCTGATGGGCCTGTTTTCCACCACCACCATCATAAGCTGGAGGGGGGAAGGAGGAGGACGAGGAGGGAGGAGGAAGAGAAAGAGGAGGAGGAGGAGGAGGAGGAGGAGGAGGAGGAGCAGGAGGAGGACCCCCTCCCCCTCCAACTTATGGTGGTGGTGGTGGAAAAGAGGCCCATCAAATTCCCCTGCGGGCGCCGGCGGGGCGACCGGCGCGCCGGCCCGGAGCAGCCCGCGGCACTGTCCGCGACGAACGCCACGTGCCCCTGGCCGGCCCTCGCCGCCACGCGCGCGGCGCGCAGCTCGCCTCTCGCCTTCTGCCTGAGCATCCCCAGATGGTCTGGTACCGGAAATTTTCGGTAGCGATTTCGACGCACCCCGAATTTCGGTAGCGACCGGATCTTCGTTTGAGGGCGCTGAAATAGCGGATTTCAGAACGCTCTGATACCGGTATTGGGCGCTACATTTCGGTATTTCGGTAACGACCGATCTCTGCGGAGCGCTACCGGAAATTTTCGGTAGCGGACCATCAGGGTCTCCTGGGAGCCCTCCGCAGACAGCGATCTGCTGAAATGGCCCTGGGACACACGAATAAATACACACAAAGAAAACGACTCCCCATATTTTCCCATATTTTGGGGGGTTTTGCCCTCCCGCCCGATTCCCATATTTTTCCATATTTTCCTGGGACTCGACGATTAATTGTGTCTGTGTGTTTCTTTCCCTCCTGATCTGCAGTTCCACGTCTTGCGCCCCACCGGGGTGGACTGCGCGGCGCCCCGCCCGCCGCAGACAGCGATCTTTGGGGGTCCCAAAACCGTGTGGTGACAGACCCGGCGGTGACCTCGAAATCCGCAAAGACCTCACCGCACGGTCCGTCACCACACGTTTTTGGGGACCCTGGAGGCTCCAGTCGCCCGAGACATCCTCGGAGAACGACCCAAGTCCCAAAACCGTGCGGTGACCCCGAATCCCCACCGACTCACCACACGGTGTGGTCACCACCCCGTTTGGGAGCCCTCCGCAGACAGCGATCTGCAGTTCCACGTCCTGCGCCCCACCGGGGCAGACTGCGCGGCCGAGCCCCGCCTCCCGAAGGGCGGCGCCCCGCCCGCCGGAGGCGGCCCGCCGCCCGCGGCGCAGCTGCAGCAGCAGTGCGCCGCCGGGGCGGGGGCCCCGCGCCGCGCCGCGCCGGGGCGGGGGACCCCGGGGGGGGAGGGAGGAGGAGGGGGAGGGAGGAGGAGGAGGAGGAGGAGGAGGAGGAGGAGGAGGGGAGGACGGGGCGGAGGAGGAGGAGGAGGAGGAGGAGGAGGAGGAGGAAGAGGAGGAGGAGGAGGAGGAGGAGGAGGAGGAGGAGGAGGAGGAGGGGAAGCGCACGCAAACTCAACCCCAGACGCGATGACCTGAGAACGTGCTGGCCCCATGTGAGACTTCGTTCCCAGCCCTCCGGTGGTTGGGCTCTCGTCGTGAAGCAGGAAGACTGCGGTCGCGACTCTGCCGCGCTGCTCCCTGGGGGGGGGCTGCGAACGGCGCCACTGTCGCCACGCTCGTGGCCTCCTGGGAGGCATGGCGGCGTCGGGGAAGCACGCGCGCCCAAGCGGGAGCTGCGCCACTGTTGCCGCTTTCGTGGGCTCCCGGGAGGCGCGGTCGAGACGGGGAGCTCGCGCACCCAGCCGAGACCTCGCAGCTTCCTGGGGGGTCTGGAGTGCGCAACTGTCGGCACGTTCCTGGGCTCCTGGGGGGCCACGGCGGAGTCGCGGAGTCCGCGCACCCAGGCGGGACCTCGCAGAGTCCCCCCAGTGTAGGCCCCTGGGGGCACGGCGGAGTCGGGGAGTACGCGCACCCAGGCGGGACCTCGCAGCCCCCTGGGGGGCTGCGAACTGCGCAACTGTCGCAAAGTTCGTGGGCTCCTGGGATGGAGTCGGAGAGTACGCGCATCCAGCCGAGACCTCGAATTTGCCTGGGGAGAGCGAACTGCGCAACTGTCGCCACGTTCCTGGGCTCCTGGGGGGCCACGGAGGAGTCGCCTCGCAGCTCCCTGATGGGGCTGCGACCTGTGCAACTGTCGCCACTTGCCTGGGCTGGTTGGAGGCACAGCGGAATCGGGGAGTACGCGCACCCAGGCGGGTCCTCGCAACTCCATGGGGGGCTGCGAACGGCGCCACTGTCGCCACTTTCGTGGGCTCCTGGGTGGCACGGCGGAATCGGGGAGACGCGCGTCCAGCCGAGACCTCGCCCAGGGCTGCGAACTGAGCAATTGTTCCTCACGTTTCTGGGCTCCTGGGCGACACGGCGGAGTCAGGGAATACGCGCACCCAGGCGGGTGCTCGGAGCTCCCTGGGTGGCTGCGAACTGCGCAACTGTCGCCACTGTCCTGGCTTTCTTGGAGGTGGAGACACGGCGGACTCGGGGAGTACGCGCACCCAGCCGACACCTCGCGGCTCCCTGGGGGGCTGCGAACTGTGCAACTTTCGCCACGTTCGTGGCCTCCTGGGAGGTCCAGCGGAGTCGGGGGGACACGCGCACCCAGAGACCTCGCTGCTCTCTGGGAGGCTGCGAAATGCGCAGCTGTCACCATTTCTGTAGGCAATTGGGAGGCCCAGCGGGGTCGGGGAGCACGCGGATCCAGCCGAGACCTCGCGGTTCCCTGGGAGGCTGCGAAGTGTGCAATTGTCGCCACATTCGTAGTTAGGCTCGTAGGAGGCACTGAGGGCAGTGCAGATTGTGCATATCTGATATCTGGCGAGGTGTTCCTTTTATAGAGCATTCATGCAACTATTGGCCTCGCGTGTTGAAGAGGTTGGGTACGTTGCTGGCAATTGTGTACTAGCCAAAGTTGCGTTCCAACGATGGCTGATCACTCTTGAATCGTGGGATCAAGCACTTCTGCAACCATGTGGGTTTAGCTGGCCTGTGGGGGGCTCGAGCAGGCTCCAGCGCGTGCGGCGCGCAACTCAGATCAGCGTAAAATGCGATCACGGTCATTAATTGCTCTTGAGTGCGTGGCTGACATGGGATTCCGTGACCTAAATTCGTGTTGTTTGTTGCTGTTGAATACGGACTACTAAGCAATTATTCCCAACCCTCCTGTGTTGGGTTCTCGTTCTGAGCAAAACAATACGACATCCACTCCCTCTCCTCCTCCTCCTCCTCCTCCTCCTCCTCCTCCTTCTCCTCCTCCTCCCCCCGCCTCCTCCTCCTCCTGCTCCCAAGGTGGCCGCGAACTGCGCAGCTGTCGCCACTTCCGTGGGCTCCTGGGAGGCACGGCGGAGAGGGAAAGCACGCGCAGCCAGCCGAGACCTCGCGGCTCCATGGGGGGCTGCGAGCTGCGCAACTGTCGCCACGTTCGTGGCCTCCTGGGAAGCACGGCGGAGTGGGGGAGTACGCGCACCAAGCCGAGAGCCAGCCGCAAGCAAAAAAACAACCAAGGCGCAAAGATGTGCGAGAGCACGGGTGGGGTCGTCAGCTGGATTTCGGCTTTGTTTCTGTTCGAATTACACTTGGGGGGGGGGGGGGAATTTTTCGCCTGGGCCTCCTCAGCCGAGACTTCACAAATCCCTAGGTGGCAGCGACCTCGCCACTTTCGTAGGCTCTTGGGAGGCCCAGCAGAGCGGGGGAGCGCGCGGGACGAGCAAAAAA